CCTGTAAGCACAGGCTTCCTGAAGTAGCAATGGAAATTAAGAGAAAGCTAACTTTAATTTGGGAAAAGTGTGCGAAAGCATTTTTTTGTTTTTTACTGGGGATTGAACTCAGGACCTCACGCTTGCCAGGCAGGTGCATATGCCACTGAACTATATCACCAGCCCTGTGAAAACATTTTTATAGTTTAAAAGCACATCAAGCCTGATAATCAGATTCAGAGCTTCCTGGAATACTTAACTCCTTCCTGGCTTCTGAGTTTACGAGGAAGAGATACTATTCCACCTCCTACCCCAGCGTGGCCACCTGGAGATAACAGCCCACTTGGAGAAGAGCAAGGAACAAGCTGGAAAGTCCAGGTGCCTGTGCTCGTGCTGTGCCCCTGAACTCTGTCATTAGGTGACCCAAGGGGTTGTGTTCATTTTCCAGAACGAGCTCCCGGGCTAGAGGGACTGCATGTGGTACCCAGGGCAACCCACTCAGAAGCAAGAAACTTAGGAATTTCCAGGAAGTTACCTAATGGTGACTGGAAGTTCTACAGAGCTGCTTTCAGTGTTATCTTCCCCCTTCCCATGTCCTCGGGGAGCTCAGGAAGTAGCAAACCTCGAGTTGCAGCTTCCAGGAGTGAAATGGGCAGAATCCCCCCTGAACAGACCCCTTGGACCTAGGAGTTGGAGGAATTGCCTTACTCAGTCAACTATGCATGGAAACTGATCAGATACCCCTGGGGAGTGGGTGGGTGGGGGCTAAGAGTCCTCTGTCTGTTCATCACAGCCACCACATCATAATATAAACCAGCCCCCAAGTGAGTGGGTTCAGCATTCAGAGCTATGAAGAAAAAGTCTCATCGCTGTCATCTTCACCAAGATTGCGGCCCTATGGATTCTCTTTCTAACAAGGGTCTGACAGGGCACTGACACAGCACGTACAGTGTAGGAATCTGGGTTGCTTCCAAGAGCCATGCTGAGGGTGAGTGAGGAGGACAGAAATGGCTGTATCCATGCGTGTGATGGCACCAAAGTCAATATTGTTCCCAATCATCTGTCCCATCACCTCGTGCGCTACGTGAGTGGATTCCTTAAGGGAGGGTAATTACTATACCAGCAGCCGCTGAAGCTGTCCTCAGGGAGTGCTGTCTCCTCCTGAGAGCGGCTCCTCTCACAATTATGTTCTCTACTAGGAATCTATTATGTGATCTAGTTCTTCCTCCAAAGACATCATTAATCATACAATGAAAATGTAACTACAATTGAAAACACAAGATGTTTTCTTAAATACCATGGTCAATGCTGGGCAATCAAGCTGGAAGATGTTAAAATTTCAGGCCTTGACCCAGGCCCTGGTGGTGCACACCTGTCATTCCAGCACGCTGATTTGGGCCTGATCTGGCTGGCTTGGCACAATTCTATCTCCGAATAAAAAATATGAAAGAACTGGAGACATAGCTCGGTGCAAAGGCCTTGGGTTCAATCCCAGTAATGAAAACAAAAAGGGCCTGGTACTACCTTCTTAAAAATATTGCTATTGATTTCTCATCATTTCTTCTGAGGATAGTGAAGTCTTTTTTCTCTGTCTGCTATCTTTAAAATGTTCATGGAAGAGTTTAGAATGTTCCAATCACAAGTCTCCCCTTGGTACAGTGCTCCATATTTCAGGAGGAATTATGTCAAGAATCAGCCCCGGACGCCCCTGCGTGGTCTGGTATCCCCGTGATGGGAAGGGACTGCTGGGCCCCAGTTTTGGCTCTGACCTTGGGCAAAACACTTTCTCTCCTGGGCTCCTATTGCTTTTACCAGGCTGTGCGGGGTGCTCAGAGCAGGTACCCCAAGCTCCACCCCTCTTATACTTGGTGAGGTTCCCCTTGAACGACCAAGGTATCTACTGTTCTTTACAGTTAGCTCAGAGTGTCCTGCTCAGATTTAAAAGCTGAAAACAATCAGCCAGGTAAGAAAGCAAAGCTATTCAGGTGTCATCCTGAGAGAACTCACCTGTGCTGAAGGTCACCAGCACCATAGATGCTGCCAAATCTAAAATCGCCGGCATGGGGACAGAGAGGTACACAGGGTGGAGGGATGTGGTCTCTCAGCCTAATACACAGACTCTGCTAGGATCCAGGACAGTCAGCAGAGAGCAGAGGAACAGAACCAGGAAAGGAAGAAATCACATGGGGGGAAGGGAAGAAGATAGACTGAGGACAAGCAGGTGCGCGCAGGAGGACAGCAGTGTGTCCCAGGCCCAAAGAAGGCCTCCAGGGCAGCCTGACATCTGGGTCCATTTGTTTTCCTGTACCTTCATACTGAGCTACATCCTCAGCCCTGTTTATTGCTTATTTTGAAATGATCTTGCTAAATAGCTGGTGTTGGGCTCAAACTTGAGATCCTCTCAAAGTGCTGGGAAGACAAGCGGGCACTAGAAGGCCTGCCATGGGTGCAGGCTTAACACACACTTTGTTGTTGGGGGGGGTCTGAATGGGGGAACAGTGGTGCACAATGCCAGAACCCGCCAGATACGGCACTGATGATGGTGCCAATGGGAAGCACAGCGAGGATGAAACTGGTTGCAGAAATCACAAGGCTTCCCAGACTGCAGCTTCCAGCCCAAGCCACCAAGTCACTGCCTGGGACACCTGAGTGTCCAGGAAGAGCCTTTTGGGACAGAGTGGGCACAACCTTCATGCTGGCTGAACAGGATGAGAAGTCACTGCCCTGGTCCCAGGCCTTTGCCACACCAGCCTAGGTGTCCTCTACTCAGTGAGAAAAAGAAGGCAGGAGTCATATCCAGCTAGATTCTCAAGGGTAGATCCTGGGGACAAAGAGAGGAACAGGGCACACAGGAGAGCAGGCAGAGACAAAGAATACACTGCCAAAGAGGAGAACCGGCAGGAAGTCAGGGAGCGCAGTCATAGCTCATGTGCTGGCTAAGCAACCACACTGGGCCTTGGCCAGTGATCCTGTCCGTCATCCCCTCTGGCTCCACCACTACTGACTCATGGGCACGTCCTGCAGGGCCATTTCCTGCTCTTCCACTGAGGTTACTACAGGGCGAGTATCTCCCCAGGGCCACCTGGCTGAGGCCCTGGAGCAGAGCAGCTGTGGTCCTTCCTACAGTAGAACCATCATCCAGCTGACTGATGGCAGGTGGCCCCGAACATGGGGTGGACAAGACACCCAGCTGGCCATTTGACACTTGCAAAAAGCTGGGCAGCACTTCATATGCTGGGCTTCGTGTGCTGCCCAGGTCTCCTGCATGGTAGACCATGGGACATCCATCTGCATTCTGATTCCTGTGGTGACATCTCTAAGGCCACACATGGCAGATGGACAGAGGGTTCTACATCTAGCCTTGCACAGGTCTGCCACAATTTATACAAACAAGCAAGGCCCAACCATGACAAGGGCTGTGGTTTCCTGTTACAGTTTTCTTTAAAATCTTCGAATTGAGAGGGCAAAGGCTCGGTGCCTATGTGGAATTCCAACAGGCTTGACAGGATGGGCCCAAACTCGCTGGCACAGAACTTCTAACAAAACAAGCTGCATGCTCTGAAATGCCTGTATTGGGTGACAGTGCCACATGATCAAGCTGGAGAGGGTACAGAATCTGCCCCTGGTTGTGAAACTCGGACCCAACCCAACCACCCCCAATGCACAGGCTCCAGGAGTCAGTCCACCTGCCAAGGCTTCAAAACTGTGCCATCAGCCAAGGAGTGCTGATGCCAAAAGCTTAGCATCCAGAGGATGGAGAAATGAAACAGAGGGGAGGTAGAAAGAAAAGCAGAAGAGCAGAGAGCAGAGAGTCTTGGTTGGTTTTCAAAAAGAAAGAAGGACTGAATTTAGGTTGAAAAGTTGAGTCCTTAAAAGAAACAAAACACAAAAAAAAACATTCCACCTCTCAGATCTCCAAGCTGCTTTTGGTGACTCTGTGGAAACCTGGGCCACCTTGGGGATGTCTGGCTCCCCTCCCCACCCCCTGGAGGGTTCCCTTACAAGCAGTGACCTGTACATGCACACAGCAGGGGTGAAAGTGGAGAAAAGGTCCGAGGAGAGAGGAGATCAGCCAGGGAAAGATCCAGCCACCCAGAGAGGCAAGCACTCTCCTCACATGCAAAGATTCAAGTGTCAGTCTTCTGTCCCAGCTAGCTGGTGGCAGAGTCCTACACTGGGTACGGGCTTTTCAGAGGCTTCCTCAGCTGCGCCTTCCCAATTCCTTGTCTTTTGATTTATACCGATCACTTTATGACAGTTTGGTTTTCTCTCCAGTGCAGCAGCAACCCCACCCAAGACTCCTTCCAAGACCCTAAGCAGAAAAATAGTTCTCAGAGAGGTCATGCCAGAGCCCTGGCTGCTTTTAACCCTTCAGACTTGAGAAGTACCCCCTGCCTTCCGTTTCGCTCTGCAGAACCAGAAATGCACCATCGTGAAAGATTGACATGAGCCAAAGCCCACAGTGCCTGCTGACACAGACCCTCAAGCACCCACGGGAAGCAGCTACATGCTGACACTGCCCAGCCCCGATGGGTTCCCTGCATGGGCAGGGCATCTAAACCCAAAGTGCTCCAAAATCTCAACTTTCTGATACAATCTCACTGCACATGTAGAAACTTCCACACCTGGCCCCATGTACCAGGTCCCAATCTAAACACAGGTGCATTGTATAAAGTTACCGTGAGCCCACCTGTGAGGTGTATGTGCCACACAAATGATCATCATGCTTACACGGGGGTCCCTTCCCAAGACATCATGTACATGCACATATCCCCAAAGCTGCACAAATCCAAAATCTTGACACACTCTGGGTCCAAGTGTTTACAAAAAGAGATACTTGACCTGTAACCGTATCACAGAATTTTAGACATACTGTGAATGTTCAGATTACCTAATCCAACCTATTCATTTCATGGCATACAACAATTTAATAAATTGGCAACAGCAGTGGAAGAGAACCTCAGGCCTCCAACTTCCAGACCTGGGTTTTGTGCACAGTCCACAATGCCCTGCCCTCCTACCTTTCTTCCTCCACCAGGGTCCTTCAGGAACAGAGTAGGAAAGGTCCTTGAACTCGATGTTCACAGCTGCCCTCCGGGGCAAGGAGGAAAAGCGCTGGGCCTCAGTGAGATTGTTGTCCACCTTCTTCAGATGCCCGTTAAGCAAGTCTGTCTCTGCATCATCCACACTGCTGGAAACAACCTCGTCCACTGAGACACACACAGACTTGGGCTCTGTCATTGCAGCCGAGTAACTGCTGGCATTCTAGAGAGATGAGGAAGAAGCAACAGGACATGTTACAGGGTGCATGGAAAAGGGACATAAAGACCCCGGTCACTAGGCACAGGGTTACTGGTTACAAACAGCCGTGCTTCTTACACTGCCAGTGTGGCTCTGCAGCAGAAAAGAGGTGGCTGCCTGCAGGAATTGTCATTTCTAATCATCAGTCTTCTTTCTACCAAAAAGATGTTTAGATAAAATGTTACACTGACCCACAGGGCTTCCCCTGGAACTATAAATTCTAATCACAAAACCGTAACAATTGAATCACCCCCTCCACAATGAAAAATTAGTGACCACTGTAAAGAGTTATTTATAGTTCACTCATAAAAACCCTCAATAAAGACACATGAAGCACTGAAGCAATGGAAGGTTATAAGAGTTTTAAGCTGCATTGTTTCAGTGTCGTCCTTGTGTAATCTAACAACCTCTCACGAGCAGGAACACCACGGAGTTGGTCTTCATACTTGACTCTGAAAGTTTACAAATCACTCACAACCCCATGCCTTCATGATAGCACCGACAAGGTGAAAAGGCTCATGTTTTCTTCTACTGTTATACAGAAAAAGGAAAGTGAGGGCCAGAGAATTTAAGGAACCTGCTCCAAGGCAAGTGAGTAACACAAGCAATCTCCAAAACTAAGTCACCACAACACTTGCAGGGTTTATTTGGTGGCATCAGAAGGGTGCTTAGCATCCAAAGCATAGTCAGAGGTTTTTGTTTTTCTTTTTTAAAGTGTTGAGGAGGGAACCCAGGGGCTTGTGCACTCCTGGCAAGCGCTCTGCCAGGGAGCCACACCCTGGCCCCGGTACTGGCTCTCACAGCTTCCACTGGGGGCCAGAGAAACGCAGCATGCCAGTTGGAGGCAACGTGCAAGAACCCTAAGTGCTCATGCAGAGACAGTGCTCCGCTTTTCTAATGGCTTGGCAACCCCGACCCAATCGATATGCTGCAGGACCTCCAGGCACAGCAGTCCAGGAGCAAATATTATGCTGAACTCTTGGTCTCCTGAACTGAGTGAGCACATCTCAGGGCCCTGGAGTGGGCCTTCTGCAACAATCCCTGGGCTGAGGACATCAGCTTCCTGGACAACCAGGCCCTCACTCTGTCTGACCTGCCCTAGCCTTGCTGGCTGCTCAGGGTTGGGGGCAACTGCTGCTGCTGCCATCTGTTCTTTGTCTGTACATTCAATTATTTCTTTTGAGTTGCTTGCTATTTATTATTACTTTATTTATTTAGAGACAAAGGTGTATTCCAAAGGTATCCAAGCTGGTCTTGAACTCACTATGTAGCCCAGGCTGACCTTCAACTTGTGGTGATCTTGCTTCTGCCTCCTGAGTACTGGGATGACAGGTGTGTGCCACCATACCCAGCTCATCTCATTACTATTTATCAAAAACCCACAACAAAACCAGAGTATGGAGTATCCATATAGTCCCCACAGACCCCAGCAGCTGATGTGGTCTTCCCCACACATTAGCATGCACCCTTGAGGGCAAGGACATGACTTGCGGAAGAGCTGGCAGTAGTTCACTGTTAGAAATCTGGATCTAACCTTGGGGGCTGGCGATGCTTAAAACACAAGCAGGCTCGTGGGAGAGGTTGGCATGGGAATTCTGGATCTTTTGGAGACAGAAAATGTCTTCTTGGATTCAAGAGAAAGAGATATGGAATACACGCGTGCGCGCGCGTGTGCATCTCAAGGGTACCACCCCCCTCTGAAAGACTTCACCAAAGCAAAACGTGGTCACTGCCCAAAGTCTATATGGATGCAGCATGCTAGTGCAGAAGGAAACTCCAGCTCAGCCTGGTGAGCCACGATTGCCACGAGTGCACGCTGAGCCCAGCACCAACATGAGCAGGTCCACATGTTCCTGGACCAAGCCGGGGAAGGCCTGAGTCTGTTCTGCAGAGATCAGGAGACTGAGGGAGCCTATCAGGGAGCTCTGAAGACAGCCTCTACATCTGCTCCCAGGTCTTCCATGTGGGGGCTACTGACAGGGTCCCACGACACTCTTTCCTAGATTGCCCTGAGCCTTGGTGATAAGACAAGAACAGAGTGCCTGAGCAGGCCCCAGGACACTCTCTCTGAACCACGCTGCCTGCCCTTTGAGGCCACATGTCTATAGCTTGTATGGACCCCAAAATAGCCTACAAAGTACCAGCTCCTACCCTTGGGAACAGGGGTATCAAGGAGCAGTTTGGTAGGATGGTCTGCTCAAGCCAGCCCTATGGCCATTCCAGCCCCCTCGCCTTATAAACAGAAAGACAAAGCACTGGTCCCCAAAAGCCATGCCTGTCCCAACCCGGAACAGGTTGGGGGTGCAGGTGGAGTGAGGCATAGGGAGTGGCCTGCCAATTCTTACACTTTTCAGGTTCCAGGTGCAGAGGGTCATCTACCCCTCCTCAAAAGCACTTCCTTCAGGTACCCAGGCCCTGGGAAACCCACAGAAAGTCAGGGATGAACAGCCACAACTGCAGCTAGCCAGCCAGCCATGGTGGCAGATGTAGGGCATCAGACATGCATCATGGGGGCTTCCTCTCCCCTGGGCCCCCAGCCCATCTGGTCACTCTGGCACAGACTCATTCATTCACAGGACAAAGAGTGCCAAACAAAGCCGAGAGGCCAGACAGGCATGCTCTGGCCTCTGCAAACTCAAGTTCAACATTAGGCCACAGGTGAGAAAGGGGCCAGTGCAACCAGTGAAGCAAGATCTGGTGGAAAAAAGGAGCAGAGCCCAGGCTTCAGAAAGACAGTGGTGATTGAGCTCAGCCAGGTGCCAAGGTGGTGCAGGTGCCCGGGGGGCCTGGACCAGCCAGCTCTAATGGGATGGAGACAAGTGGATGTGCCACAGGCACACAGCTGGTGACTAAACCCACTCTGGGGCTGAGACGGAGAAGCCAGAGTCAGAATCTCACGATGAAAAGTGCTCATGAAGGGTGCCAGGTATGTGCTGGGTGACTGTAAACAATAGTGCCTACTGATTCAGCGGTCACAACATGCCTGTTAAATCCAGCCTGTGTAGATTAGCCTCTGCCATCTCCTGCTGTAACTGGTGGACGTGGATGGGGAGGGAGGAGACCATTTCCATGTCAGAACCTGCCTCGCCCCCAGCCCTGCAAGCAATGAGCCAATGTTGCTGGAGCACTGCTTAGCTCTCTGCAGCAACATGTGGGTCCCCCTGAGTCCATCCGCCCCAGAAAAGTTCACAGCATACTACACCGGCCCCAAAGTCTCAGTCTCCCACAGTCCTACCCCAGCAACATATACAATCCTGCCCTCCTCCAGGGTGTCCAGTGGCCTCACCCAATTAACAAAATCACACAAAATACGTGTGATGGGAGGCAGTGACCTGTCATTCTGAAATAGATCAGCTCTCTGGAAACATCCTCAGACGTGAGCTGCCGGCAATGTAGGTTACAGCTAGCTTTTCCTTTGCCTTCTGAGCTCATTAAAAATACAGCAAACACCTAGTCCCTCCTGTTCTCTCTCACTCTTCTGTTTGTTGATCCTTCCCAAGCGATGCCTCTGATCTCTCCCTAAGCACAGCTATTGTGTTCTATGCTGTGGATGGTAAATAAGAACAGGTCACCCCTGAAGCTGTGTGCTGAGGGGTCCTGCTCCGAACATGTTCTCCTGGGTGTGGGGCAGAGTGGTGGGGAATTCAGCTAGAACACTGGGCATAAGGAGCTGGGAGGGTCTGTGATACTAGTGAGCAGCAAAACCAGGCCACTGTGAGACCTTTTGCTGGAACAGAGTCGGGAAACTTTCTTTACACATCACAGGGAAGAGACTCTCCTCCCTGCTTCATACTGCCCACAGTGGTGCCCATCCATGCCTTGTCCCCTGGCATCCTGGCCACATTTGAAGAAAGCATACTAGACTCATAATCTTTTTGCCAACCACTCACAGGAAAGTGACCAAAATGTCACGCCCTGAGTTGAGTCCCAAGGGCAGACTGTGCTTGAGTGGCCACTGAGAATGCATACCTATCCAGATGCCCATCTGGGCCCAGAGGCCCCAACCCGCTATCCCCAATGCCCAAATCACTCTCAGATCAGCACAGTGAGACTCTGGGCAGGGAAAGATGGAGAAGCAAGACCAGGGGTCCTGGGCACTTGTCAAGGGCTTTTGCATAGAATTTTTTAAAAACTTGTTTTTCTGTATTCCTATAGCACCCACTACTTCCAGCTGGTCTCCTAGTGTAGCTCCAGGCAGGTCTGACCATGCCTATTTTGAGGAGCAGTTCCTTTGGGTAGCATGTCCATAGAAAGACAGAAATTCCCAAATTAAAAATAAAAATAAAAACCACTGCGTTTTCAGGAAGGAAAGTGATTCTCAAGCAAAACAAGTTGTGGGAGTGGGGGGACAAGCTAGTCAATTAGCATCTCCAAGTGAGAAGAAGACATACCCCTCTGGGGCTGTGTGAAACCACAACACAATGTTAGAAAAAAAAAAAAAAGTACAAAGAATCTGTATCTTAAAAGCAACCTGACTCTTCCTTCCACACCTACCAGCCATCCCTGCAGCCCCAAAAAGAGCCTGAGGGTTACCTTGGGCTCTGAAACCTCCTTTACCTGCAAGACACCTGACAATCTTAATTCTCATTGTCAGCACAATACAGAAATCCAAAGTAAATGAAAGGGTGCAAAAGGAAGACTTTTTTCAAGTGTTACCCAAACACTAACTAGATAAAAGCAAATAAATGTCCTCAGGCAGTAGCTGGGTTTTCTGATTTTTTTTTTCCTTGTTTCTTCTGTGTAGGAAGCCAGGAGCAAGCCCAGAAATGGGAGGTGGTGGGGTCCCTGGCCTGATTGCCCCACCCTCTACCGACTGTCTTCGCCCCATTCTCTACGTTTACACTGAATCATTATATAATGAGCTGGAGCGGCTGGTATGTTCTACAGTAACCTGTTTGGAATCATAGGATGCAGTCGTCAGAGAAGGCATGCGCACAAAGCAGGTTACTTTTTTTTTCCCCTGAGCTCAAGGCAAGAGGTAACTGTCGGTCAAATCCTGCTGAGCCCTGCTGACTTCAAATACAGGATGCTAAAAATGAAATAAAGGGGAGGTGCATGCTCTGCACTGTGGGCTGACAGTGTATGGGAAGGAACCGGCAAGATAGTAATACACAGAGAGATGGGAGAGAAGGGATGCTCCAGGGTGGGACACAGAGGACCTGCTGGTTGAAAACACTTAGGGTGCCTGACTGTGGAGCGCAGGCGCCCAGCTAGCCATAGTGTGGACGTGGTAGGCGCAGACCTTCAGCGCCCTAGGAAAGACGAGGTGGGTGCATGGGTGGCTGACGGTTACTTTGTTTTTCAATTTTCCGGTGAGAGTAAACGTACCAGCGGTGATGACCAGCCAGCCTAGAGCAGCATTTGCGCCGCTGACTGTGTACTGCCTTGAAGTCGCCAGCACCCGTCCTCTTCTCTGAGTTGGGACCCTCACCACCCTCCAGAGCGAAGTGCGCGTGCCTGTGCCCACCCTGGCGCAGAACTCCACGCAGGGCTCCGGGCTCATCCTCTCTCGTCTCCCCGGGACTCCGCCGCCCCCTCCGCAAGGCGCTGTCCCCGAGGAGCGTAGGGCCAGTGCAGGCTCGGCTCGGGGAGCAGCTCTCCCTTTTGTTCCCAACGTGCGCGGCGCTTCCCCGGGTTCAGAGGCCCCCACTCCTCAAGCGCTCCGCATCAATGGTGTGGAGAATCCGACCCCTCCCCTGGGGCCCAGGCTGCTGCCCCTCCCCGCGCGCTCCGGGTCCCCGAGGCCCACGCCCCTCTGGGAGGCCGAGCATCTGTCCACTTGTGGGGCCACTCGCCGCCCCGCGTGCCTCTCCGGGCCCCTCGGCGTCCCCAGCCGGAGCATGGAGTACCCAAGGGGGCGAGGGGCTCCTGGAGTCTGACACCTGCCGGGCCAGCACCCCAGACGCTGGACGCGGCTGTGCGGAGAGCTGCGTGAGGGTCTTTGTGCGTCCTCTGCTCTACTTGGAAAGAAACCCAGTCCGCCGCTGAAGCGGCACACTCACCATGGCGGTGCCGACCGAGAAGGCGGCCATCAGACAGGCCATGCCACGGCGGCGGCGGGACGAGGAGGGACGAGGCTGCGGGACAAGGTTGTGGGATGAGGCTACGCTTGCTTCTGCTCTGCTGGCGCCCGCGGGCTGAGCTCTGGACCCGCGCCCCGCCCCCCGCCTCCCGCCCGGCGCCCCGCCCGGCGCCCGGATTGGTTGGAGGCAGGCGCGGGCGGCGCAGGTGCGCGTGTGTTGGGTGGCTCCTGCTGGGGGCGCCAGTTTGGTCCGTGGCTCCGCCGCCTGCTGTACCAGCGGCCCACAGGCACCGGAGCTGGAAGCCTCTGTCGCTTGCCCCATGTGAGTCCGTGGGGCCGGGCGCGGCTTCCCAGCCTGGGACACTCTTGGCAGGGGCATGAGGAGCCCTGGGGGGGGGGGGGACTAATGGGCATTTTTCTTTTTGGTCCTTATTAGGTACCTTTGTACTGGTAATAAATTTGAGAACCAAAGAAGAGATGATCCCCCTTAACGCCACCCCTACCCCTCCGTTGCAGTGATTCCCACGCCAAGCTGGGCGGGCCTGCAAGCCAGGTGTGACTGGATAATACTGTGTGTTTGAATAAAGAAAAAAAGATTTACAGTGAAAGATAGATCTCCACGAACCCCATCCACATACTCCTGTTCAGTGTGTGGATACTCACCCCATCGTCCTTGCCTCTTCCTGCAGCAGATTCTGTACTCCTCGCTCAGTGTCTTCAGTTGTGCTGTCCTAGATGCTTAGACATTCTGAATGGATTCAAAACATTGAGCTTTCCATGGTCATTTTGTCTTTGGGGAGGAGCCCGAAGTCACAAGGTGCCCGTTCCCAGGGAACAAAGTGGATGAGGACACAGGTCACGTTGGAGGCACTCACCGGCAGAATTCACTGCATTTTTTTAAAATCACACCTCATAAAGACAGTGAGGAAAGAGAACTTCAGAGCTGCTGTAGAGAGTGGCAAGGATGATGGGAAGAGTGTGTTCAAAGGGAGGAGGATTCTATGGGTATTCATGCCAATGTGTTTTTTGCTGTAAGAAATATTTTAAAACTCAAATGCTTGCATGATTTTCAGTCACTCCTTGTGCATTCCAAGCTGCTGTGCACCCAAGTGCTAACTAAGGAGGACTGAGACCCAAGCTGTCACTGCCCCAGCTCCCCAATAAAGGAAAAGATGATTTTTGCAGATGGAGGTGTTTTTGTGCTGCCCCAAAGCTGCATAAAGAGTAACACCGGGCACTTCCCATTTGGCCCCAGACTGCAATATCAGATGGCCTGGCATCTGCTAAAGCCCTCATTATGTACAAGTGTGCCATTTCCTGATAACCATGGTGACAGGCTATTCTTCAGCACTAATGCTTTTGTTTGATTGTTTACGTGTTGGGACCAAACCCAGGAATGTTTTCTGTGGCCTCCAGCACACCTGGGCCACCTGTCTCATCCCACCCCACAGCTGTTCTCCTCCCCTTGGAAGGAGGCAGTGGGAGGACCTGGCACTCATGCCCACAGGTGACCACACTGAGCCCTGCCCCTGATTCAGGGAGGGAAAGCAGGAAAAGCAAAAGCTGGCAATTGTGAGTTTTAGGAAGGGAAAGGCTGGCTCTGGTCTCAACAGCCTTGCTGCTGGAGAAGTCCACACATCTCCTTTGCCATGTTATCTGTGACACAGACACAGAGGACAGAAGCTGAATGTGGCCAGGGCAAGGAAGGTGATGTCGAGTGCCTTTTCCCATGGGCTTCTAATTTCTGTCCCACATCCATTCTCCACCTCCCAGGAACTTGTAAACCATTTTCTGCTGCTGTCCTCCTTATCACTCCTCCCAGCCCTCCCACTCCTGTGGGATTGGTCACTCTCCACACAAGAGTGGGACCACTGGCTTCAGCTACCAAGTGACCTCTGGCCACCCTGGCTACAATGGTCCATCAGGAGCCAGAGGTGCGACTGGGTGCCCTCTGGATGTCTGAGGATGTCTAGAGGACAGTGAGAAGCCTGAGGACACCAGAAAGGACAGCCAGCATACCCAGGGTCCTTGCTGGTAGGCTTGGGGTTGCTGGATTTTCTGTTTCTAGTCACTAAAAGAATCTCTCTTGTCCATTGCCCATTGGGCTAGTGGTCACCTCCATCATGCGGGGACCTCACAGGATGCGCATTTCCACCACACGTGGCATGTGTCATCGCCTAACTCAGGGCCTTGCTGATGCCATCCCTTTAGTGCCCAATCAGGGAAGGAGTGGCAGAGTCAGGCAGGCCTGTGACATATCTACCAGGACTCTTGGTAGAAGTGACAGAAGGCAAGCTCCTGTTGGCTGAGTTAAGGGGAAAAACTTGCCCTCAGTAACAGAAAGACTGTGGTTTGGGGACTGCCAGGACCAGGGATCCATGCTGAGGGTTCAGCACCTGCTCTCTCACCTTTTCCAGGGCTCCTCTGTGCCTGTGCTGGCTTCCCCTCCCAGACTGTCCCTCTTGTGGCCCCTCCAGCAGCTCCCAGTGCTGACAACGTGCCCAGGGGTCCCTGAGCTACACAGTCCTGTCCCAGGCCCCATGGAGAAAGCATGAAGTTAACCCTAACAGGACCCCCTTGGAGGGCCAGGGCACCTGGGCTCCCCCAGTGTCATTTCACCACAGGACTGGCCAGTCAGGCCCCAGCCCCAACAGGAGTTTCATGAATGGCAGTGGCCAGGCTAGGCTCAGGGACTTCTGGTAGGAAGCTACCTCCGACCTCAACAGGAGAACTGCCCATCAGTTGATGGTTCAGCTGTTCCTGGAGTGCTGGCTCCCTGCAGGGGCCACTTTGCTCTGTGCAAGTCCCCTGCAGAAAGTAAAGGAGATTTTCATAGAACTTACTCAGTTCCCACCTACACATACTATACCTAATTCAAGGCAAATGCTACGGAAATATGACTTCACTCTATTGCTCAGGGAGAAATGACAAGGGACGACTCTCTTCATCTCCAACATGGGTGCATTTTAAACATTACTGATCCAGCCTTGCTTGGATGCACAGATCCAGAGGGTTGATGATTGCTGTCACAGTTAGCAAGAACTCTCTGGGTTGGCTCAGCCTCCCTGTCATCCTAGCTGCTCTGAGACATGGAGTGGGTCAGCTCCTTTAAGGCAGGCGAAGGCCTAGCTAGATGATAGAGACAAAATGGTCTCCCTCAGCTTCCCTCCCCTGCCCAAACATCCACAGTCCTGCAACAAGGCTTCTAGGACATGTCCTTTCATCTCACTCCCCTTCACTAGATGGTTGTGCTTCTCAAGGCCCCAAGTGACATTTTTTAAATTAAATTTGTACCTGTACATGATATATCTTGATTCCCTTCCCCCTCATCCTTTCTGCTCCCTTCAATCCCTCTTCCCCTCTTTATTTATAAAGCTTTGTTTCTATTTTATCCTTTTCACATTTTTTTCTTTTCCTTTCCTTTCTTTCCCCTTTTCCCTTCCCTAGTTCTGCTTTCCTTTTGAAAAAGATCTCTATTTCACAGTATCTATTGTGCATTTTGGTCCTTATGTACACTTACAGTTTCTCATACCAGGGAGACAAAGTAATATTTATACATGTGTGTCTGGATTAATTTCATGAAGGAGTATGGTCTCAAGGTGCATCCATTTACCTATAAATGTCTTAAGCTTATTCTTCTTTATGGTTGAGTAGTGCTCCATTGCATAGAAAAACACATCTTTATTCATTCCTCAGATCATGGGCATTTGGGCTGCTTCCAAGATTTGGCTATTACAAACTGTATTACTGTAAACGTGGCTGTGCACGTGTCTCTGTGGTATGATTCTTTGAATTCTTCCTCAAAGATACCCAGTAGGGGAAGAGCTGCCTCAAATGGGACCTCTAAATCCTATTCTCCACATTGATTTTGCAGTGGTTGCACCCATCTACACTCCCACCAACAGTGCAAAAGGGTTCCTTTGTCCCCATGGCCATGCCAGCATTGTTATTGGTTGATATCTTGATGCTAGCCATGGAGAGGGGGGTGGAATCTCAGTGTTGTTTTAATTTACAACTCTCAAATGAGCAGTGATGCTGAACATTTTTTCATATATTTTCCATTTGTATTTCTGTATCTGAGACATGTCTATTCATTTCAGATTTTCAAATTGAGTCTTTAAATTTGGGGAGGTCTGATATTTTTTTCAATTCTTTGTATGTTCTAGATATTTATTCCTTTGTTAGGAATAAATATGATAAACTGGAAGGCAGACACTACACCACTGAGCTAAGCCACTTTAAAAAACAAAAACAAAAAAACCGAAAACAGGAATCAAACTCAGGACCTCACACTTTCTAGGCAGGCATTGCACAACTGAACTATATCCTCATCCTGAAAAAGCTTTTTAGTAGGATGAGGTCCAGTTGTTGATTCTTTGTAGTATTTCCCGTGCAATCAGAGTTTTGTTCATGAAATCTTTATACACACCTGAGTTTTCAAGATTTCTGCCCATTCTCTCTTCCAGAAGATTTAGTGTATCTGGTTTAATATTTAGATCTTTGATCCATTTTTATCTTAGTTTAGTGCATGGTAATAAATATGGGTCTAGTTTTAGGCTTTGGCATGTGGAAAATCTGTTTTTCAAGGACCACTTATTAAAGAGGCTATCTTTCTTTCAGTGCCTGTGTTTGGCACCTTTGTCAAAGATAATGTGCCTGAGTGTGTCTGGAGTTGTTTCCCATCTTATAATGTGTTCCCCTGATCCTCTGATCTGGTGGTTTTTTTGCTAGTACCATGCTGATTTTATCAGAGTAACTCTGTAGTATAATTTCAAGTCAGCAGCCAGGGAGATAGCCCAGTGGAATAAGTGCTTGCCTGGCAAGCACAAGGTCCTGAGTTCCATCCCAAGTACCACACACACACACACACACACACACACACACACACACAGAATTTAAAGTCAGGGATTGTGATGCTCCCTGACTTGCCTTTGTTGCCCAGAATTGCTTTTGCTATTCTTGATCTCTCCTGTTTCCAAATGAATTTTAGAAATGTTTTCTCTAGTTCTATGAGGTATGATAATGGTATTTTGATTTGGATAGTGTTAAATCTGTATAATAATTTTGGGGATATAGCTATTTTCACTATATTGGTTTTTCCTATCTGTGAGCAAGGG